AGGCGTAGTCCTTCGACGTACAGTCTGTTCGTGTTGTCGACAGACTTCAGATCACAGGGTGAGAGTATACCTAGATCCTTTACGGAACTGGTGGGATGCAGCGGATGGCCCGCCAGGGTGTACGCACACCCATTACCACCCTTCCCCAGACTCATAAACGAGGACTTGGCCGTGTTGTCCGATAGGTTAACTTCTGCGAACCACTGGGATAGGCGGACGAGGTCCTGCTGAACGACGTCACAATCGTTGACAGAATCAATAACCCTTCAAATCTTCCAGTCGTCTGCAAGCAGTGCACAAGGCGATTGAAGAAGCTGCGACACTTCGTTTATGTGGATCAGGAATAAGATTGGCCCATCACTGTGCCTTGGAGTACACTGCTAGTGAAGAGGTACTAGTCCGTTAGGTGGTCATCCACATGTACCCACCATCTTCTCTCAATAAGGAAGTCTTTGTTCCACTGATGCAGTGCGCCACCAACACCACACATCCTGAGCTTGTGGAGCAGGACCTCATGGTTCGCTTTACCGAAACCTTTACTGAAATCAATGTAGGTAACATCCACTTATTTCCCCCGGTTCGACACTTGTAACCATTTCTGCAGGTTGGTGATGCACGAACGGCCCTTCATGAAGCTGTGCTGTCCCGACTTTAGGAGATCTTTCGACTCCATCAGCTGGAGAAGACCCTATTCCACAAAGTTCTCGAGCACCTTCGCCAAAACAGAGGTGAGACAAATCGGCCGGTAATTGTCCACATTGCGTGGGTCACCACCTTTTGGAATCGGCTTCACTACCGAGCATTTCCAGTCGCTCGGCAATGCACCCTCGGACAGCGATCTGTTGAACAGATCCGTCACGGTAGGCGAGATGATGGCCGATAAGGACTTCAAAATTAGCAGGTGAAGTCCATCGAGTCCGACAGGTTTTGTGCCATCAAGACTGGCGAGTAGACTGCGGACATCTTCTACACCGCAATCAAGGCCGTCGAGCTCATTACGGGCTGCACACGTCGCGCCCGGCATGCTCACTTGTAAATACGGAAGCGAAGTGCTCCACCAGTGCGGATGCACATTCAGTGCTAGTGGTCAGAGGCTCTCCTTTAGTGCCCTCTAACACAGCTACGTCACTTGCGGGCCTCAGGCGCCGCTTCACGTAAGCAAAAATCTTCCTGGGGGTTGTCTTCGCTAAGGTTGCGAGCTTCTCTTCGAACTGCCGACGCTTTTGCACTGTTGCAAAGATTCCGCTGCCTTTTGGACTCCTCATAATCGTCGGCAAAGCCAGACACGAGGAATTTATTCCACTATACCCGTCGCCGTCGAGCCAATTGGCCATGCTCTCTGTCGAACCAATGTGGCTTCACTTGTCCAGCTTTTCCTATACTTGAGGGGTCCGAAACAAGCGCACAGCGATTGCATACTCTCTTTTATAAAGGAGCAACCTGCTTCAATAGATGAATCCTGCGGTGGCGACCAGTCCACTTCACTGGCGGCTTAATTTAGATCATTGCTGTCCGTCTTCCAAACATTGTAGGATTGCTCCGACAGGAGCGAGTAGAGCAATGGCAGCTTTAGGCCGGCTAACACCATCGAGTAGTCGCTGGCTGCTAGAGGTTCCTGGACCTGAATTTCATGTACACGCTGCTCGCGACTCGTTAGTAGTAGGTCCACGCACGATGGAGCGGGATGCGGTGTAACGCGCGTCGGTTGACAGACATGTTGTGCTGCTCCAGTTTCAAATGCCATCTCCGCAAATTGCGCCTCGATTTCATAGTGCCCGGGGCGAAGTTGAACCTTAGCCCACTGTATTCAAGGAGGTTAAAATCACCCATAAACAGGAAGCAGGACCGACTCATGTAGTTTCTGACATACGGCAATCAATCCAGGTATCGACTTCGCGGGCTGCGATAAGCCCCACCCACAAACTGTTCACCCTGTCTCAGGCGGATTGAGTCCCATAATTGTTCGCACAGGCCATCTTCGCTACGGTAGGTGTGTCAATCTCCCGGACTGCGAGGATTACATGTATAACAGCACGCCACTTCGATCGTTTGATAGTCTGTCGCACCGGAATCACGTGTAGCCACTGATCTGGACTTCCTGGGTAGTAACCTCAGAATTTAACCAGGTTTCGTCCAGTCCTAGTAAGTCCGGATGACGAGAGGCAATGAAGTGAAATGCATCGTCAACTTTGTTCATTAAACTACAAGCATTTTTGTAGGCTACCCGCAGGCCGGGACTTCCCCTCCTCTCTTCCCAAGACGATTGATTTGCTTCAACCGCAACCCCTGTTTATTAACGTCCAGAAGCCTATCAATCCACCTCGTGGTCATAACGAGCCTGAGGACTAGCATCTGTCGATTCAGGCGCGTGAAATATCGTAAGGTTACAACGCCGCTGATTGCTGACAGTTGTCTTCTCCTTTTTGCTTCACTGCATTCTCCATTGGCCTTCATCGCCTGCGCTATCGCACACCGGTATGTTAGTGTCCGTAGGACGTAACACAGGCACGCCAGCTGAGGCTCCAACAACGGGTGAACATCGCACTGGAGAGCCTGCAGCCGGTGGACAGGTAGGCTCGTTCGAACATAGAGGTGACTTGGTTTCCGCTTGCTGGGATGAACCCATGGAACTCCTCCCTATGGAACGTTTCACCCGTCTTGTAGGCTCGCGCGGCTTCTCGACTGTTTGTGACTGCACTGTAGCTTGACATTTCTTGCACAATATTTGGGCAGTCATGCTGAATTTCACGCAGTATTTTAAAATGATCTAAAGACAAACCGGTACACGAAATGTGGAAATTCACACGCCACATAAAGCATGTGACAGCAATGCTTCTATGCCCAGCTATTTTGCAACATCTTTCACAGGGAGTCAGCTTCGTCATTACGGATAGCTTAGTAGATGTAACCGTAGTGATAAATTGAACGATAAACACACGATACAAATACCAGAGTAAAATGTGCGGACACAGTACTACATAATAAACATTCAGAATCGCAAAAGAAACTGAATTTAAGCAAAATAAACACGAATAGTCTGCTCTGCACAAAGTGATGAACGATGCAAACTGGTTCGTCAAACAGGGAGAAACGGGTCCTGCGAGCACTATCCGCAGTCGTTATGTCAGCTAGCGTTGTAGTCTTCAAAAAGCTAAGTTACCCTGGATGATCTGCATGATGCATACCCGGAAGTCGCTAAAATGAATTCCCTGGCTTGCTTTTATGTATGGTGACCTGCTTTAGACAGGGACGTTACGTCGAAAGTTCGGGGCTGCGTGCTTTGTCAGGGAAATCGGAATGCTGTGCTCCATGTACCAATACGACCATGGAGGCGTCCAGAAGCACCATGGAAAGGTGTTCACGTAGACGTTTTGGCCCTTTCGAAGGTCAGATGATCTTGTTGATCACTGATGCCTACGGAGCTTGCCATAGCAAGCTCCGCTCACTGTGTACGACGTTTGCAACTTCCGATCTGCCGGAATTACTATCGTCAAATAATGGAGCAGGGTTCACTAGTGCCGAATTTTCTGACTTCCCTATCTCGAATGGCATTAGGTACCTAACTACTGCGCCTTATCATATCGAACGGTTTGGCTGAGCGAGCTGTACAGACGGTAAAGAACATGTTACTGAAGCAGCCAGCATCCTCACTTCGTGTGCATTTAGATCATGCCCTTTTCGCTTATCGAAACTTGGCAAACGAAATCACCGGTGGAACTTCCGCGGAATTATTGCTCGGCTGTCGGTTGCGTAAAGGGTTGGATTTACTGCACAGTACCCTTAGTTCGGAGGTTTGCGACAGACAATAACGCGCAAAAGAACACTCGGACCGGGACAGCAGAGATAAACATGTAGAAGAATCTGATCCCATCTATGTCCGCTTACCTACAAATTTTGCGTGGCAACCGGCTACTGTTAAAACAGTCAACGGGCAAATCATTGAAGCAAAAACTGAGGATGGCAGAACTGTCAGACGCCACTTAGACTACGTTCGACCGAGACCGTCGAACTCAGAAACGACCGATGAGTCGGAAGGACGACACCAACGCTGATCGATTCACAAGTGTCCGATCCTGCACTACCGCACCAAATGGCTCTACGCGCCAACGCCTGCCAGTGGATCGATTTTTGGCTGCATAGCTCAAACTACACGGAAGGAGTGTACGCTGTGCCAAACACACGCGCACCGCGTGCGTGCGTTCGTGTGTGTGTACTAGGGTTTTTTTTCCGTCTGCCGTATCCATTGCTTGGTGACTTGTTTCAATGTCCATGTGACTTCGAATGCCTTGCGCTCCCTTCTCGGTGTAGTTGCATGTGCCGTTTAGGTGAACAACCGCCTTACTACGCAACATTATTTTCTGATTTCCTCTGGGCGTTACGGAGGTGTGACTAGTTTTGGGACTATGTTTTATTCTGCAAGTCGGTTTCAAAGAGGGTATGGGTATGGGTCTCAGGATCGATCACGTCAGTGCTTGGACACTTAATCCGACGTAATCTAATTGCGCATTCAGTAGCGCTCTTGCGTTTGATCTGCAACTAACTGTTTACATTTCAACCAGGTATGTTTTATCATTTTTACGTCCTCCTATATGTGTGTCTTTTCCCCGTCATTATCAGTCATTATTATGCCGACAGCGCGATCCCGGTACAGCTGCATTCGCAGCTCGAAAGACAGTTGTCTGACCTTATCGACTTTTCTTGTGCTTCTTTTGAGGATAGGTAGCGGCGCAAAACGTACGATCGATAAAGAAGCTTGAAGAATCCCATCAGAAAATCGTGTCTTATTGGTGTTTCCTATCTTAAGGGTTTTGGTGTCCGCCAGCTCTGTCGTTTGAATTCCTCTCTGAACTCGTCTTTAGTCCGTTGTGCTGCCAAACTTATTCTCTTCTCCCATTGCTGATTCTATTGTTCCATTTTTTTTCCGTCCTCGCTTTTCTTCTGATATCGGTATGAGAGACTTCCTATCTGACTAATATGTTTTTCGTTTTCCGTTTCCTCAGAAGCGTGCTGCAGGGTTGGCCTGCGAACAACCACCTTCTCCGGACCCGACTTCAGCTCCACTCACTCGGGCAGTTGTCAGTAACTCAGCCACGTGGCTATCACATTGCGCATCCGCCTCATTCGGCGTCCATCGAAGTCCGGCAGACTCTAGAGCTACGGCTGAGATGACCGCAATTCCATCTATTATGGGCGAGGAGGCCAGTTTGATAGCCAGGGACGATGAATGTGTTGCCCGTCCGCATTCGGAGATTATATTGACATCCGGGAGTACTAATGATACCGTGATTGCAGGTGTAACTGAAAGTAATCGGAACAAAACACACATAAGCCCGTTAAATGTGTGCGACGCTTCAGATCTAACTGGAGTTATACCTGTTGATGGGCAATTTGACACCTCTGTCCAACTACCCATGCATGCAGAGAAAATCAAGAACAATTCATTAATAGAGGACACCAACGTATCCGATGATGTGGTCCATATCAAAGATAGTAACTACCAAGGTGTATTGGATTCTCATACCAAAGTGTTGGAATCTGCCACCGGTTTAAATGTTGCATTGACGGCAAAGCCGTCCGACATTTCCTCAGAGCCAATAAAATCTTCCACGGCCCAAGGAGCGTTGGTTACCACCACAAGTCACGGAGCATTTCAGGCTGTGCAGAACGAAGTCGAGGAGCCTCCCAGTGTCCTCTGTCGATGTACAGCATTTAATGAGACTTGTGGAAACGGTTTGATCGATCGATCCGGCTCAACAGACCCTGAACTTCGCAGACCAGCCAGCGGCTTATTGCAACCACCGGCCGCTGCGTCAGCTGTTAGTCTTCAGTACCGTGCTGCCACTGTTTGCGCTGCCAGTGTGGCAGTGGCACTAATCCTAGTCGTTATGCGGCGCCTCTCACTAATGTTGCATGGTGCCTGAGTAGCACAATGCAACATACATTGCCTTTCCAACCACCACCGTTGCCTCATTCGTATTTCATACACACACTGCGTCGAATTCACAGCTTTTTTGCCTTTAATTATTCTCACTTTACTGTCGCAACCTGCTGTCGACGATATCACCACTTGCTATGGCACACTATCTCTACCACTTGATGGAACGGTGTTTCCCTTTTTGCTGTTGTCCACCATGCAATTCGTGACGAGTGTCACGTTCCCTCATTTTAGTTTTCCTCGGCTGTGTTTAATTCATGTGATTACTTCTGCCTTCTCGAATTTTTCCGCACTTTACTGCCCATCTCGGCGTAGCCACATTTTTCTGCCTGATTTCGAGCGTTATTCTCGTGAAATTCGCACTAGCTTTACAATGCCTGACTCTTTACAATCAACTTATGTGTTAATCTAGGTTGTTTGACGCATTTAGATGGATTGGGAAGAGACCGTTAGTGCATATACACTGCTAACATCGCGTACTGTAACATCCTCGCTTTGCTTACACTGGCTGTCGATGACAGCTTGAACAAAACGGACTGACATATGTCATTTAGTGAGTTAAGCACTACCGGATATGTTCGATTCTGCGTTCCCATGTGTCTCATATACCACTGTTAGTTCTGACCAGTTCAGTTTATTAACTAAGATCCATGTACCAAGATGCTGTGTATTGTTATTGGTATACCTTGGTAGCACTTTCTCTGTTTGTCCCCTACTCGTTTTTTGTCGAAGGCACGGCTAAGATAGAAATAAATTGAGAGTTCGTCGCAACAGCTTCCATACCAGATAGTTTTTCGCGCACCCGAAAAAGCGCTCGACGGCCGTCTCGACCTTTTGAGTTTCGTTAGTTGTGCGCACCTATCGGCTCCATCAGGATGTGAAGGCATGGTCACTAGTGCCTTTCACTGCCAGCCAACAACACGAGCCACGTGGGACAGCGGTGGACCATGATCTACTAGCGACTCATCTTCCATTGCCTTGCAAGTTACCAAAGTTACAGAGGACACGATTGGCTTCGGAAGACATTGCTTTCACTGACAGTATCTATGTGCGACGTAGCATTCATTCGGAAGCTGCTACAACGAATTCTCGATTAAGTACATCAAAGTATTCGCCCCAGCAGCATTGACTCCTTATTTTCGTATTAACCGTATTTTGTTCTCAAAACAATCAAGAAGCAGACATGGGAAACTGAAATGTAAACTAGGTGTCAGCAACAGTACACCGGTGTTCTGTACCAACGCTTCGCTGTCTCGCGATTCCCACCGGTCACACTGGGGCTAGTGATATTGCCAGGCCTCCTGCACCCACGCAGACTCCAACCGGTGACCTTTGGGTCACAGAGCAAACACCTCATCCCTTCGGTCACACGGAACACTTGGGTGGCTAACACATGGAAGCAAACAGATGTATTACGAAGATATATTTTGACGAAAATGGAAAAATTTCCAACCTTTTTCCTATTTGGCGCTATTTCCTACGCGATTGTGCTATCAGAGTAGAGCCGGCATTATAATAGACTCGAAATGCCGGGCAGTGTATTGACTAGGCTTATAGCGTAATGCAAGCATGAGCATGTCGAACAGGCTGCGTCGACGACCTCAACCATATAAACCACAATCGAGAGACGGGGGAGAGTGAAGCCCATGACCAACGTTGTGCAGTGGTGTGGGTTCGTTGAGCTGCACAATTTCCGGCAGTTCAAACGAGTCTAACAATATGTCCAATGACAACTTGGAAATGGAGGCGATCTGTTCATTACATTGTTTGCGCAGCTTTTAGATGTGTCGAACGAGTGAAACGGTCCAATGGCTACCTTGTACACCACATCACCCTTCTTTCCTATTAATAGCATACGTTATCTCGTTTGGCGGTTGGTTGTAGTATCCAACACACAAGTTCTCTTGGGAGAAAACACCTGATGTGAGTCGCCGTTGTGTTGTCTTCTGCAGTATTGCCCCACTTGTTATGCGGATTGCAATTCCAAACTTGGCGTCCACCGGGGATGTACCGCTTCTTGCAGCAGATTTGGGCGTTACTCGATAACTCAACACAAACAGTTGTATCGTCATTTCTATCGTTCTTTTTCGCAGCTTTGGTAGTGAATGCTCTAAAGAATCTACGAATCTTTCCGCTTCGTTAGATTTGCCATATCCCGGAAAGAACTGACATTTGGTTCCTCATGAGTAGACGGATTTGGATATGATTTTATTTGATTCATCGCATTTACAAGCCGCATAGGCGAGCCACCGGTCCGGAAAAGCACAAGACGATCGTTTCGTCCTATTGGGGCTCGTCAATGGTGCGCATTCCCTCTGTCCCCTGTTGGGGATCGAACCTATGACCGTTAGTGGTTAGCAACACTAGTCATCCCCTTATACCACTGAGCCATGGGGGACGATAACCGACCATCACGGATTGTAACCTAAATGAGATATTGCCCAACCCATCCATTTCATGATGACATTATGCCGACAAAAAATATTAACTTTCTCGGATATAAATTGTCGTCATTAATAACCGAGTTGTTCCGCGAACTAAACTGTGCAAATGACTTTTGCGGCTTTTGAACTTTAGTCGCTGTCATGATGGTGTTCATGGGATATGCGACCGTCCAATCACGAAACACAGACCTTGCTTGCTGAAACGCAATGCTTACACATTATGACACCTTCTTAGCTAGCAGGGGTTCGAAAGTGAACATGAGTGTTCGGTTTATCTTCCGTCGTCAGTTTCCATGTAGGTATAAAATCCTCTATGCGAGCGTGACCGAGTAGGGAGTGAGTATAACACGTGTCGGGGAAAAGAGTATGCACGCTGAGTTTGCCGTTCGTCCTTGGCTTCTATGTGCACATGAGTCATAGAGATAGCTATAGCCGGTTAAGGAGGATATATAACAGGAGCTAGAATTAAGTGGCATATAGCGCAGGTTACGAGATCAAAGATAGAGAACCGGTGATTCCTATGTGTTAAGCTGTCTAAACATGAAATGACGCATGCCTATGCTACAGGCCACACAGATAGTGGGTTTCACTATAAAATCAGGAGGTCGTAGGAAGGAGCTATGCACCTCATCACTGAATAAACTTCTATGTAGGTCTGCACTCTGGAAGAGGCAACGTAAGTTACACGGGGTACAGTATACCGGGGATCGAAACTGCAGTGTACAAGATCGGACTGGTCACACGGAGGCACTGCAGCACACTTTCCCAGTTAGTCATACTAGTAAAATACACCAGTAAACCGAATGATATGAGCGTTGGCTACATAACTTGAAGAAGGGCAGCAATGAGATTAAGCAATACATCAGCTTGGTGAGCGATATAGAATACTCGATACAAACTGATGGGAGCAGTGAATCAAGAGTAGAACTAACTATAGTACTGACGATGGTGAAATAAAGTATGATCGAAATACCACGAAGCATTTTTTCTGTTTAGCAAGGGAGATGCTGTGGTGTGACTAAAGCTAGTGTGATCATTAGTGGACCAAATCTGGGTCTTCGACTCTACTACAATCAATCATCTTGATAAGGATTTCTAGTAAGTTGTGTGATGAGGCCGCTACACATGCGAAAGTATTTTTAAAAGCAGATGAGTGGCTGATTATGACTCATGACCGTGAATGCCGCAAAGAAGGTGTCTCGCCTTTGTCGCCTTATCTTTGTACGATAGCCAGGTGTCTTTGATGGTTTGGTGTTGACAGTGTGTAGGCGCCTTGACGCTGAATGTTTACCTAGGGCATTAAGATCTTCCGCTTATGCCCCTGTCTCCCCCTCGTAATATTCTTCGTTCCATTAGGTCACCGTGGTTGTATGGCAGCGAAGCATCAGTTCAAATGGCTGATGTACTGCTGTTAATCATGATGCTGAGGAGCAAAATAGAGCTACACAAGCTTCTCAATGAGCTGAGGTCTACACAGGGTTATACACACAAATAAATAATTTTTTTAATCTTTTCATCCCAGCTGCTCACAAGCTACATAGCACAGCCTAGTCCAGAAAAGCACCAGACGCGTTTCGCCCTATACAGGTTCGTTAATAGTGCGCATTTCCTCAGTCCCCTACTGGAGATCGTACCCATGATCGATAGAGGTTGACGCCAGCTAACCAGCAGTTTTTAAGCCACTGAGCCATGGGGGCAGTGGTTGGTCTACATACTTTGCAAGCTAACTGGGATATCGCAGCACCTATCTTCCACTGCTACGCAGGTTACTACCTTAACAAATGATAGTGGTTAGCATTCCGGCTATGGTTTCCTCACACTAGACGCTACGTCCATAGCAATTAAAACTAGAAGAGGCTACATTTTATATTAATTATGAGTAGGAGGATTTTAGTTGTAATTGCAACAACAATTAGTTGTAATCACAACTAAAATCCCCTACTCATAATTAAAATAACTAATCTTTTCATTTTTCGACTGTGCGAAACAAAGCGCAGGTTGTTAGGCCGTTCAAATCGTACAAAAGGTTTGGAATTTTATTATACTAAGTTAATGAAACAAGTGCGCGTGATCTTAATTTGAGATTGTGAATAATTTCCGATTCACTCATGAAGAGACGGTGTAGCAAAGGAGCTCGTTTTCGTTGATTCATCATCAGGCCAAATACATAATATTTAAATAGTTAAGATAAGAAAGGATGGATTGAGTCAATGAAAAATGATGGTGTCAAAATGCCCATAATCGTTGTGATTCGTTTACGCGGAAGCTACCCGAACGATAGCTGGCCACGGTAAGGACAAAGCCTTGATGACCTATTTGTGCACACACAGCGAGGAATTGTTGAGACCAATCGCGATCGCCTCCGCGAACGCAAGGATTCGGCATCTGATAAGTTTGGTAGATGTAGATCGGGCGAAAGCCTTGAGAGATAGCAACTCTAGTCAAGTCGACAATGCGCTTTATGCACCCATGAAGAGCGAATTCAGCTTCAACACACGCTAATGGCACAGATAAAATCAAATAAAAATATGACAAATGTATATGGTGCGCCACCAATTTGAAAATGTGGCAGTGGTGATATCATCGATTCAGTCTGGCAATAAGGTCTTGTTTGACTACATCTTGATCCCTCAGAAAACGTGACAAATAGGGAACAACTGACGTACCGTAGACCCGTGTGCGGGCACTGATTGGCATCAGTGCGTATCTTGGAAGCCAGTTTTTCGCGAGAGCCAACATGCGTACACCGAATGATGTCGATAAACACTAGCATGGAAATTCCGCTGCATCGAGCAAAATGATTCAGCGACCTGCTGATGGCTTCCAATAGCTCGTTTAAGTGCGGTATTACGCAAGCGATGCCAGTCCGTAGAATCAAGTAACGAGACACGGATGATGACCTAAGTCGGGAGACGTAGAACATTAGTCCCCTAACTTTAGTGAATGTTTCATTCACGTGATGCAACCACGTGAGATCCCGACTTAGTGTTAAGCCGAGATATTTCACTATAGGAGTTAAGACTGCCACTGTCGATACTACAAAGCGGGATGTTCGTCGGGAGCTGTTGATAACAATTTTCCTTGGCTAGCGAGAAAATAACATCTTTCCACCATGATGCGTTAAGTGAAGGACAGCGGAATTTGCACCAGGAGGTGAGATTGTCCAAGAAGCATTGCAACTTGGCCGATGAATCTGGTGTGATTGTGTACACCAGGGATCACGTCATCAGCATACTTCTGTGGGATGGTTCCCTTATAGCGATACTAGTAATGGATACTAGTAATGGGGACAAAATAGATCCCTGAAGAACACCTGCATTTGTGGTGTGTGAGGAAGAGCTTTTCCTTCCAAACTTGGTAAGCTGCGTACGATTTTGCAAAGTAGTCTGTAAGAAAAGACACTTATGTAGGTTGAACTCCGGAAACTAGCAGATCGTGTGACAGCAGCTATTGGTTTACACAACCAAAAGCATTGCTGTAATCTAGAAGCCAGATCCGCGTTTGTTTGTTGCTTCTATCGAGTGATGGAAGCACGGAGTGTACAAGACAAGCTAATGCATCCAAAGTAGATCTTGAACTGCGATCCGTCGCAACGAGACTGGACCTTAACGTGGTGCGACGGTTTGCGTACCTCATTGACCCATTGAGCTATACTGGGTGATGCTTCCGAGCATCTTGAGAGCTGCTCCTACCAGGTTGATCAATGGTGAGAGGTCAGACAAACTCAGTCTCCTGGTCCTCCAGGTTGGGGGTTTGAAATGGGATGGCGTCCATTTCTGTAAAACTAAATCACTGCCACTCCGCTGTCTTGCGGACAGGCTTTTGAGCCAAAGGCTTTGGATGAGGACCCTAATCGTCATTCTGTCTAGGTCTGGGCACCCTGGCAGTATCTCATCTCACATACAACCATGATATTTTCTTCAAACGTAAACTTCATCCTGCATCGGCCGTCGCGCAGATTATCAAGGGTCGCCTTATCTGCTGCATACAGCAGGGTGGATAAGCGAAAACATGCTAC